GGACGATGTTTTTAAGCCTCGCGTGCCGCAGCGGCTTGAAGGGCTGAGACGTCCTGTAGCCTGCTTGAAACAAAACCAGACCGCGCTTAGCTGTCTTCAGCATCGGCACGCGCGACGAAGGGCGGCGCTCGCCGAGACCAGAACTCAACGCCCTGCCGTGGATTTCTGCCCGAGTTTGAGCACGGTTTGCTTTGTTGCGCTTTTATGTAAAAACCCCGCAACGTTTGGCTGGCCAGAAGAGCGTTAAATGACTTTTAACGGTGTTCAAGGCCCTTCTTGTCGCGCGTACCAGAGTAGGCCGGTCGCTTAGCTCCCTGCTGGCGCTAACTTGCCGCCCCGACTCTCTGGGTAACCAGGCAAGTTGTCCGAGTGGGGCCAGGCCTGTACGTTAGGAATGCGTGCTGAAGCCAGGTCCTGTAAACGCTTCCCGCCGCGCGGAGTCGCGTTGCTAGGACTCTGCGCAGAAATAACCGGGCGTGCCCCCGAGCGCCTCTTCTGAAGTGCTGATGGGGTGGTGACCCCGCTGCTTGGGAGCCAGGGAGATCGCTGACAGGATCGCTTCCGTGTTTATTGAGCTCAAGTCTCAGACTTTTTGTTTTATAATTAAATGCGCTTCTCTTCGTGGTACTTTTTTTAGGTGCTGGAGCGTGGCCGGGTAGCACTGCGTCGTTCATGTGCATCGATCTTGTGTCTCATGCCAAGATGTCTGTTGTTTACGCAGAAGACGTAATATGAATACTTTGTTAACGTGCTGTCAGCAATATAAACGAACAAACAAGAACTCCGAACAAAAATAGCTCTTTTTAGAGAGAGGAGAAAGTCACAGCTGCCGGAAAACTGTTTTTAATGGAGAGCGATGCACCGTTGGGTTTTATGTTTCCTTTAAAACTCAACTTCCTTTACGTCCATATAAAACTTCTACTGCGTATAATTTCTTAGTAACTTAGCTTCATACGTATGTAGTCCTTTAAAGAGTGTTTCTTTTTGTAAAAAGGTTTGGCTGGGTTGTGAATTTTTGAAATTATCTTTGAAAATTGTTTTTGGGCAGGCGTGTCCCTGTTACGTTTTGAGATTCTTGAGCCAACTGCAACAAATTCCCCTCTCCAATGTCAACACGTAGAGAGGGTTGTTTTCCTTATGACTGACTGCTGCCTTCGCCTTCACTTAAAAAACATTCAATGGCTTGGAATGGTATGACCAAAAAAAACTCTATGTTTTCAATTCCAGATTGGAATTTTTACAAGTCAGGAAAAAACAAAAAGTACGGTGTATATGGGTAGTAATTCAAGAGCCTGTCGTATCCTGCTTTTCGTTACGGAGTATATTGGCTTAGTAGACCCTAAAAGCAAATTTCCAAGCATGACAATGCATATGAACGGACGCTAATACGTCTTATTTGCGCTGTTTCTGACTTAATCCCATGACGACTAGTATTTACCTAGAGCCGAGTGATTGATGTCCCTTTAAACGTAAGGAGAAAATTGTGCTTTAAAGCACCTAAAAGCGTTCAGTGTTAGAAGGGATTGCAGTATTTTGGAAACTCCATGGCAGTCACGTGTTTCATTCTTGCTATAGCAGCAGTGATGGCTAACGGGAATTTTTCAGATTATACGTGTCCATTAGAAGGCCCACAGAACTTCGGTACTTGCACATAGGCTAATACGCACCAACATCTCCTTTTTTATTATTAATAAAGTGCTTTCACATTGCATGTATTGTGCTCTTTTTTCACCCTATGTCTTAGCTTGAGTATTTTCACCTGTCATCCATAGGTTCTTACTTTTGGGACTAGTAGCATAAGGGTATTTGACTATTTTAATTACCTTTTTGCCACCATCATTTCTATGTTGCCTGATCTCACAATGGGTATTATATGTGGTCTCTGTTTGACACCGTTGATTGTAAAGGTTTACAGGTGTCTCTTTTCCTCTTTTTTTCCAGTTTTCTCCGCTGCTGTATAGAACAGAATATATCCTGATTGTGCTACAACTTGCAAGTATTGCTTTTTTATTTTGTATTTAAATTACACGCTTTAGGAGGCAGAAACTGAACTGTTTGTTTTATGTCCTGTGTGGTACAGTGAGATCCTGTTCTGTGACTGGGCTGTGTAGGGAGGACGATAAAAATGCTGATGTGCAAAAAACTATTTTTAATGCTTTGCTAATTTTTTACAGTTAGTATATTTTATAAGGTTTTGATATTTTGCAGGGAGCCGAGTGTGACTGTAGCTTCGCGTTTATGTGGATATTCACTGACATTAGTGACTCTTCTTCTACCCGGCCACTTGTATATGGAGATCTTTAACAGGATTAATTGGAATTGGAGGTCCTTAGCAAGATGTGATTAGCGTCAGGCTGGATGGAAAACGTTTCTGTTTTAGGAAGGTTTTCTTGTGTGGAGATGAGTTGATTTTTATCATCTCCCAAGAATAGTTGGTATTTTTAATTTGTTGCATAGCAGTTTTAGATCATTAATACATTCTTTATTTTTAAGTATATTATCTTTTTCCATTTTAGGTGTTTGCTTAGTAGTTGTGTTCTAGCAAATTCTAGAGATGCTTTAGGATAATGTCTACTAACGCTAACATGTCAGAGTTCCACTATGACTTGGTAAATGAAAATAGGACAGAAGAATTTACTGGTTAAGTTTGGAATGGCAGATCTAGTAATGCTTCCTTCTTTTTCTTTCTGTTCTCTTACAGGAAAAATGATATTCGTCCAGCATTCCTGAGTAATAAGAATGGGTCCAGATGTACCCCTGCTGAATGATTACAAACAGGAATTCTTTTTGAAGCGCTTTCCGCAGACTGTGCTGGGAGGTCCCCGCTTTAAATTAGGCTATTGTGCCCCTCCATACATATATGTGAATCAGATTATTCTTTTCTTGACACCATGGGTTTTGGGAGGCGTAGGAACACTTTTGTACCAATTGGACGTTACGAAAGACTATTTTACAGCAGCGCTTTCAGGAGGACTGATGTTTGTTACTGCACTTATTCTCCAAATGACAAATCTGTATGCAAAACAGAAGACAGTGACAGTAGAAAGAATGCAAATTCAGAATACCCTAACAGATGAAGATGAGTTTGAATTTTCCAGCTGTGTAGGTTCAGAGACAGTTAAATTTATTATTCCTGGCAAGAAGTACATAATCAACACTGTGTTTCATTCTCTTCTGGCAGGGGTATTGTGTGGGCTGGGAACTTGGTATTTGCTGCCAAACAGATTAACCGTGCTATATAGTAATATTGGAGGAACTGTTATCATCTTTGTATTTGGATGGATGACTATATGTATAGGAGAGTATTCATTAATTATAAATACAGCTACTGAAACAGCTACTTTCCAAGCACTGGATACTTACGAAATTAATGCTCTGATGAGACCTTTTTATATTTTTGTCTTTATTGCAGTGGATCTTGCACACAGGTAAACTTAATACAGCGTTTAGCTAATGAAAATTTCTATATATTTTTGATAGAAAGATGAAATGATTTTTCTGAGGAAAACTTATTTTGAAATTTTAATCAGCTGTGGAACTTCAAAAGAAGCCTAGAAGAGTATGCAGTAGAAATTGATGCTCTGTTTTGTGTATCTAAAGTTCTTGAAGTTTTATAGCATCCTACACAAGTTAGGAAGACCCTCAGTTCTAAGTTACGTACAGTAAAAATTGTCTTCTGCAATGTCGATTTTGGTATTATTCTGCAAGAGCGTTTGCATTAACTTCCTTTTTGAAGGTATGTTCTCAAAAACGTGTTCTTGATCTGGAACCGTAGATCTAAACACTGCAGATTTCAGGAGCACTGGATCTAAATCCAAATTTCATCCTTGAATGTTTTCTTATTTAATATCTACAGAAAGTGTAAGTTACAGGCCAAAAAAAAAAAAGAAAACTTGAATTTAGTGAGTGGATAAGCAAATATCTACTCAAATAAGGCAAAACCTTGCTGTGTCTCTTTGTTATATGGATTTTGAACTTGGATTTTTAAATATAATATGTAATGCACTAGATCTATATCAGTTTACAAGTGGGAGATTGTTTTATCTTTCCACTTTTCAGATGAATGTTTTAGCGAAAGCATTTGCAGAATTTGTTAAAGCACAATGTTTTTGGCGTTACGTCATGTGTTCTTTCTCCTTGTCAAATGATACTTTTATCACTTTCACGTGTACAAATGTTACGGTTGGGGTACTTCAAATGCATTTAAAAAAAAAAAAAAGCCTGTCTGATTTTATTAGTTTTGCACATGGGGATGTCTTCGTTAACGGTTTACCCCAGTTGCCCCTTCAGTTATGAAATGAGAATTCTACACGTGGTCTTAGACCCCAAGTTCTTCTGCTTAAATTCATGAGGAGAAACTTCAGACATTCTTTAAATTCCTGACAAAATCCTTTTGAGGATTACTTATTTATTTAGTAAGAGGTAAAGAGAAACCAAATATCTTAGTAGTCCGTCTTTTGAGTTAATTATCTTATTTGTAAATAGTGTATGGCTTGCAATTTAGGCAGACTTGTAATACTGATCTTTGTATTTTTACAGAAAGGTATAAGTACTTTTATGTACAAAATTATGTTGTATATCACTAAAGAGACTTTATGTCCTGATTTACAGGCAGCATGCCAGTGCAGTGTTAATTCTTACACGTTGTGTCTTGGGCTTACATGAAAGTTGTGTTCTTGTAATTTTAAAGTAACACCTTAGCACTCTTTTGTTAATCAGATGAAGTCTTAGAGCCTCTAGACCTTTTTTCCCCCCAAGCGTTTCTTGAATGTATTATCACAGTACTGTCAAAAGAATAAGGATACATAACTCACTTGGCTCATCTAGGTAATCTGAAGGCTTTGAATCTTTTGAATTAAAAATCAGACGGTGTTCTGATGTTGTAATTATTGTATTACTGCCCCAAGCATAAACTTGTAAACTTTTGTCCTTATTTTTCCTTTAAAGAAATATCCATTGAGTTTATGTAATGTTTATACTTCTGGATTTACAGTATTGGTTAAAAAGTGTTTCCACGTGTCAGCTATCTTTTCCTTCACAGAAGTCAAGTGCGTTTCTTCTTTTGTCTAGGTTTGCTGTCAACACGCCTGTTCTAGAGCAGACAAACCAGATTTTGCACATCGTGTTTCTTTTTCTGCCGTTCTTATGGGCAATGGGAATTCTGCCCCCACTTGATGCACTTTTTCTATGGGGAATGGAACAACTGTTGGAGTTTGGACTAGGAGGTTCACCTTTGTCAAGTAACACAAAGTAAATTTTGTTTATATAATGATAAAATGTATCAATATCATTTATGACCTTTTTTTTTTTTTCAAGCAAATCTTTTTTTATTTTCTCCTTCACAGGTTATTAGTAATGTTTCTCATTTCTGCTGGAACAGCAATAGCATCGTATTTCATTCCCAGCACTCTCGGTGTGATCCTCTTCATGACTGGATGTGGGTTCATACTGAGTCTTAACCTAAGTGAGATTGGTTTTGCCTTCAAACACACCATGAGCAGCCATTTGACCTCCAGCAAGTCTAAAAATATGCACAGAGGTCTTAGAATACAGTTTGGGTGGAGGGAATTCATTTTTTATTTGACTGTGCTGACATTTGCTCTCATAGAAGCTAGCCTGCTGCATCAATTTGCTGGTTTTTCGTCTTTTTCCAAAGCCAGTCCTCAGGCTGTAGCAAGTTACATTCTGATGATATTACTCATAATTACGTGGATTCTTAGAGAGATTCAGAGAGTGTACTTGTTTGGAGTCTTCCGAAACCCCTTTTATCCAAAGGATATCAGGACTGTGACTGTGTTCATGGAGAAGCAAAGAAGGCTAATGAAAGTTGGTGTTGTCAGGAGGATTTTACTAACACTAGGTAGGAATACCCACTATCTGTTGTTTGTTAGATGATGATTATAGGAAGATTGAAACAAACTAGAGTTACTATATGTGCAAAGTTCTGTGAATGAACTAAGAAAACGTAAATAGGTAAAAATATTTGTTGATGTTGTGCTGAATTGCATTAAGGTCAAAATTACTGGCTCAGAATATTTGAAAGCGATTAGCGATATGTTTGTTTTTTAGAGGTCAGCCTAAGAAGTTGAGCTTTTTAAAAGTCCAGCTCAGACACCAAGGCCTTTACAAGCATTTTAGTTATAACATCAGTATTCACTTTTGAGAAATTCCTGTTGTAGATTTTTAAAAAAGATACTCAGTAACAAAAGTGAGTTGAGAGTCTTCAAGTTGACTAAATACTAGGTTCTTTCAACTTTCTAGTAAAGGGGGCATAATCCCCTTTCTGGTAAAGTTAGTGACAAATTTGTTTACTTTGAGGGAACCAAAATTTGGTCTAAATTCATTTAATTTCCTAAAGGTGTGGCAGTTTTGGGAAGTGGATTGATGAATGCTCTTCCTTTGTTTATTTTTACTTATCTGAGTATCTTCAGTTATCTTCGGGGAAGCTTAAAAAAGAAAGAGACAATTAAACATGGATATAAATGTTTGTAGTCTTGGGCCATTATTGCAAATGCGCTATTTAGTTTTAATGGTCTGGAGGTGGAGTAGGAAGAGGAGTTTACAGTAATTACTTGATTAGAATAGTTCTCTTTTTACGTTCAGTTTTCCATTCTGCAGTGCTTACCTGTGTAGACTTGACTTGTTTTTTTGCAAAGGAATTGATGATTATTTTATTTCAATTACAGTATCTCCATTTGCTATGATAGCGTTCCTGTCACTCGACCGCACCCTACAAAATCTTCATTCTGTGTCTGTTTGCATTGGATTCACAAGAATATTTAGGATGGTAATTTGAATTTTAAATATATTACTCGGCCTAAGACATTTTTTCTGCTATGTGACTTAAGTATTAAAGTGGCTTGGAAGAAACACTCCAGGTCAAAAAAGCTAGGAAAAGGTACAAACATTTCAAAATACATGTCTGCAATATCTCTCTTTTAGGTCTGGCAGAATACGGAGAATGCCCTACTGGACATAGTGGTTGTGTCACTAACACAAATGGCGGTGTTTAATCCGGACATATGGTGGAACAGGAGCCTCGATACAGGAATCAGACTCTTGCTGGTAATTGTCATCGTGTAGATTTAAGCAGATAGTTGTCCCTTAATAGTCTTAGTTTCCTTTCTGTGCCCCAATATAGAATCAGGGTCTGGGACCTAGTAAATCGAGACTAAAAAACTATACTGAGACGTTATTTGTAATATCAGTCAATGATAATCTCACTTCATTTCCTTAAAATTGGTCTAGATAGGCAGCTTTAGTAGTGCTGAGTATGATAAGATACAGAATACAAATAAACGCGTGCTTGTTTTATCTGTCTCGCAGGTCGGCATCCTACGGGATCGATTGCTTCAGTTTGTCTCAAAATTGCAGTTTGCCGTAGCCATTCTTCTGACATCGTGGACAGAGAAAAAACAGCGTCGGAAATCTACCGCCACCTTAATCACGCTCAACGTAGTTTTCTTCCCGATCCTGTTGACCTTCGTTGCCATCTCTGCGCTACTTTCTTCTCCTTTGTTGCCGCTCTTCACACTACCAGTGTTTTTGATAGGCTTTCCTAGGCCTATCCGAAGTTGGCCAGGTCCTGTGGGTGCTACAGCATGTGTTTGCTCCGATACTGTATACTATCAACAGATGGTTCCAAGCCTGGCTGTTGCTCTTCAGTCTGCACTAGCAGCTGGTAGCCTAGGTAGGTACGCTAACCTTTCACTGTGTTGTGGTCTTGTAAGAAAATAATTCTGTATTTGTTTCACTTAAAAAATAAGGAGAAACAAAATGATAATGAAACAGTATTTATCTTTCTATACTGAACAAGACCAGATGGTATGGATTCATCCCTCCTAATTATAGGTAATAAATTGAGATGCCTTCGGAGCACAGGTATTCTGGCTGCTCTTGACAGTCAGCGAAGAGGAGGAGGGATGTCCAACTACTCTTTGTGGGTGTGTATATATCTGCTTTTCTTTGCAGTGGTCCCATTCTTCAGGGACCAGCAGGTGAGTTTTACTGATTTGGATATGTTAATTAGGTAGGATGAATCTGGACTGATGTTTGCAGCGTAACTAGCAGTAAACAGTTGGGACCAGAACCAGCTGATGAGACTTCATAGCACATATTGTGCAGGCAGTTAGGTTAGGGTTGTAGTAGCACTTTCTGATCTGAAAACCTCTGAAAGGCATCATCGTGGGTATTTCACAAAATTCTATAAAGAGAGGTGAACAAATACTGCGTATTTTCCCCAGCTGGTGACACAGTAAGTGCCAAAATTTCAAGTTCATTTTCTTGAAAAACAGCCGTTGTGCAACCTAAATAATCGAGATCGTTGCTCTTTGACAGGAGATAAATATTTACGTAAGCCTAGTAGAAAATGGCTTACAACTATTTAAAGACAGTGGAAGTTAACCGTAATCAGTCTTTTCCGAAGAAATGATCCAAGCGCTTTACAAGGGAACATTTGATGCAATTTTGGTACTGGTGGAGAGGTATTAAAGAAGGAGAACTTTGAAGCTTCTTTCCACTAAAGGAGAGAGAAACTTCACTTTGCCTACTGCATCAGCCAAATATGTGCATGTAGGAGTGTGTGTGTGTATTTATTTATTTATATGTTTTTCCCAGTTGCCATCTTGACCATGTGGTGGCAGCTATGCCTCGGATTAAATGATTTAAAACATAAGTCTAGGGGAAAAAAAAGGTCGTCTTTTTAATGGGAAAATCTGTGAATGAATGTCTTCAAGCAAGAAATAATTTTCTAGTCTCAGATGAGTTTAAGATGTAGTGCTTTGCCTGTCTCTTTTAATTTAATACCATACTCCTTTCTCTGTAAAGGTGTTTTAGTAGCTTTGACAGTTAGAAAGAAAAAATTAAAATGTTGTAAAATCTGTGCGAATGCTAGCAAGAAAATGCACTTAATTAGCTCAATGGGATAGAAAAGGTTACTTAAATTTTAACTATAGCCTAATGGTTGGTTTCACTGGTTCCATCTTACAGTATTCTAAAACTAAAATTTTCTGTGCACCGGAGTGATCACTGGACGTGAGTGAGAGCAGGAGCAAGTCATACGCTGGCAGCAAACGTAGCTTGCCACGCTTAGGAATAGCACTGTTGTACTGGAGGAGGTGACAGCAGGCAATTAAGTCTGCTGTCAATAAAGTCAACTTAAAGAACGACAGTAAAAACAGCAATTGCTAGGAAATTTGGCATTGCTCTTTTTTATGGAAATAATAAGAGGGAAGCAATACCATGACTCTTTGGACATAAGAGTTCTCTAATTTTTACAGCGAGAGCCAGTCTTTGGGATTTTTTAATACTAGTTGGTTTGATGTGTGACCAGAAGTTGTTCAGCACTTAATTTTCAATTTCCAGTTAATTTGGGGTCCCTCTATTTTTGGTGATGTCAAACTTAACACCAGGTTGGTTTCGTTTTGTTTTTTTTTTTTCTTTTCAGAAGTGCTTAAGAAAAATGCAGATGACTTCTACTGTATCTACAGTTGGTGTTCAGTGTCTATGATACTGATTCACAAATCTTTAAAGACCAGCGCTCAGAAATGGGTGCTCTTTAAAATGTAGGTCTTCATTTTTCTGATAATTTCTCTATTTATGTAGGACCTGTGAATTATTTACAGGACCTGTAAAATGGGTATGGTACTACCTCACTGGTAAGCTGAGACTTGAGCAGAACTTTGAAAATCATTTAAGCTCTGGATTTTGCATCCTACAGAAATATTTCTAATCATTCTGAGATACACGCAAATTAATTCAGGAACTGGCAGTGGAGGTACCAACTTCCCTTGAGTTATGTTTGTACTCTCCCATAACAAATAAAGTCTGTGTTCCACAGTAAACAGGGCCATTAAGAAATCCACGTGCCAGATGACGATTCTTCAATGTATTCTGCAGTCATATGAATTTTAGATCCCCAAATGACTTCAGTGGGAGCTGTGCATTTGGAAATGCGGCCAAAGAGGATCTTTACTCGTGAAAATCATGTCCGTAAAGGGTATTGAGGATGGGGGTGCCTAACTCTCTAGCCCAGTTTGAACTTTGTAGTCCTGCAGTTTTGGTGAGGGGGAGTCCACTTTTCTACAGCTTTTTCAAAGACAGCATTACAGTTTCAAAGATCTAGCTTTGCAGCTAGTTTGTGTAAGGGTACTAGTTAGACAGTTGTAACCGACTTTGAGGTTGATGCAAAATGTTTTGTGTATGCAGATGAATTCCTCTGTTGGCAGGTTGAAAAACCTTTCATCGATATAACACCACACTACAAACATCTGCTTCTTGTCTAGGTCTCTCTCTACCCGGATCACATTACCTATGCCGTTTTCAGGACAGACTGATGTGGATATTGGTGCTGGAAAAGGGCTTCACATACTGTGGTGTTAATATTAAGGTAACTGCATGCTGAGGACTGACTACTTATTTGATACTACCTAATCTTGCAACTGACATGCTTTTCATATTGTTTTTAAAACTTAGAAACCACACAGATGACTTACACAATGTAAGAAGTCACACAAAAGTTGAAATGAGTAGAAGGTGTGAAATTATTTTTTTATTGCCTAGCTTGTGACATAACATTGCCTAGCTCATGGCATAACATCTTTAATAAGCTGGCTAAACCAAATCTGTATGAAGCAAAGTTTTTGGTTTTTCTAAGATCAAGTTACCGTATCTGTGCTGAATACTGTAGTGAGCGCTTTGGTAGCGGTGCTGATCTCCAGGTAAATTGGTAGATAGCTTAGTTCTGGAAAAACCAACAATGGAGCATATATTCACTTGTTGAGGAAAAAAATTGTTGCAAGACAATAGAGCTTTCTAGCATGTAAGGATATGTACTGGTGAAGACTAAAACCAAATTGTTTTCATTTATGCTTTAGGGGCTAGAATTGCAGGAAACATCCTGTCATGCTGCTGAAGCTCACAGAGTTGATGAGATTTTTGAAATGGCCTTCGAACATCAGGAGCACACAAAGATTGTCTCTCTTAATCATCATTTTGGAAACATTTTGACTCCTTGTACTGTTCTACCTGTGAGACTGTATTCAGATGCCAGAAGTGTGTTGTCTGGAATAATTGACTCTCATGAAAATTTAAAGCATCTGAAAGATGATTTCATTAAAGTGCTTGTATGGATGCTTGTCCAGTATTGTTATAAAAAATCCAAAAAGCGGGGAAACCTGGACAATGCAGACAAGAACAAAAAAGGATCATTTCCAGAAAATCAGCATAGCAGTGCAGTAGAAAGATCCAGGCCTCTGAGGGATGAAGATAGCTTTAGTGTTGATACAATTGAGGACTGGACTGATGATAGTGACATTTTTGATCTTGAACTCAGTGGCAGAGTGCAAGATAGGAAAGAAACTGGGCAGTTGGGAATTACACCAAAAACACATTTGTCTATTCCAGGGTCTGTAGAAACACAGAATCAAGATGACCTACAGGAAATGTCACCAGAAGATAAATTATGCAGGGCTGTTGTGCTTGGACTTCCTGCTGTAGACAAAGGAAAACAGCGAGAAGTTTTACCTCTGGTTGAATTTAGTTGCTCCTACTCAGAGCTATTAAGCATCCCTGAAGAATGGAGAACAGCCCCAGTACCTGTTTCCAAAGTCAATGAAATGAGGCAGAGGTTCCCAGAAGAGTGGTACCATTTCATTTTGAGTCAGCTGGACTTTTTTCACCTGAAAGAAAAACCTTCCAATTTACTTGAAGACCTTATGAAAGATAAAGCTTTGAAAGATTTATACGTCCATGGTGTATTGTCGTGTTGCTTTGGTCTGTTTGGACTGGATAACACAGTGCCTGCCCCTAGCCATGTGTTCAGAGCGTACACCGGTGGTATTCCGTGGTCTGTTGGTTTGGACTGGCTAACCAGCAAACCGGAGCTATTCCAACTTGCACTAAAAGCATTCAGGTAAAAGAGGACAATTCCCTGAGATTACAAAAAGGATATAGAAAGTCCTGTGCTTTGAAAGGAAATATCACTTCACAAAGTGTAGTTTGTTTTAAAGCCGTACAATTTAAAGACATCTCTAGCTTCTTTCTGCGTAAATATTGCCTGTAACCTCAGGTAGTGAAGGTCGTGATATGGAGGAGACCCTTTCGTTCTTCCCGGCTCCGCTGGAAATCTACTGTGTTAAGTAGGAACAAATGACCCATTGTTCATTATCCAAATAATGTAAGAAAATTGTGATGCAATTATGTTTTGCACTTTCCATTATCAGGTAGTGGTACCAGTGTTTGAGGTGAATGAAAGATGTTTAAGCTAATGTGTTTTTACATCCCATCTGGGTGAGCTAAAAGCATGCTCATACTAACTTCTAATGACTCAGGTGACAAGGAGTAACTTAAAAATTTGCTACTGCTTGATAACCTTTAATGGTGTATTTTTGTCTTTTGTAACTCAGAGGGTTTCTTTCTCCTGTCTTCTGCAGCAGTACTTACTGTATGGCTTTCTGTGCTTTTCAGATATACTTTTAAGCTTATGGTTGACAAAGCAAGTCTGGGTCCAGTTGAGGACTTCAAAGAGCTAGTTAACTATCTGGAAGAATATGAAAATGATTGGTACATTGGACTGGTGTCAGATCTTGAGTGGCAGCAGGCAGTTCTTCAGGAAAAGCCTTACCTTTTTTCCCTGGGGCATGATCCAAACATGGTAAGGAGAAAAATTGCTGGTAAGCAAGAAAAAACTTTGTTTTTGTTTTCCACTGCTTGTGTTTTGTTTTATTGTCTCCCAAAACTTGAAGATTGTGCAAGCAAAGGTTATGTTTGTACTAGACAGGAGCTCACATCACTGTTGCTGAAAATCATAAGGCGTCTGTTTCAGAGGCAGCAATATTTGCTGATTGTTTTTAGATGCAAGTATTGAACCAAGACGAGTTGATACGCTTTGCTATTCGTAAATATATGCAACAGCACAGACTGGTGGCATCTGCTCAGTGCATGTTGTGTTAATTCAGGATTGCATGTTCGATCTTTAGACTGTAGGCAGGTGCATTTGTTGTTGCTGATTATTTTAAAGGGCCAGTTTTCTTAGCCTGTAGAGTCCTGAAGCTTCACTTAGTGCTTTGTAACTGAATCGTCTGCGTATCTTTTTGGAGAACGTACTGAACGTTTTGATCTCTTTGTTCTTGAAGGGAATTTACACTGGGCGAGTGCTCACTCTTCAGGAATTGTTAGTACAAGTGGGAAAACTTAATGATGAAGCTGTCCGAGGTCAGTGGGCAAATCTGTCCTGGGAGCTGCTGTATGCTACTAATGATGATGAGGAGCGCTACAGTATCCAGGCCCACCCCGTTCTTCTCCGAAACCTTACCGTGCAAGCTGCAGACCCACCTCTTGGCTACCCTGTCTACTCATCTGAACTTCTACACGTGCCTTTGTTCTAGACTGGCTGTGGCTTTTTGTGTGTGTGTATTTCTCATTTGCATGTTGGGAAGCGAATGCTCATGCTACGTTTGTACACTACAAATAAGATTTGACTCTCAAAATGGCGTCGGAGGGCAGTGCCAAACCAGCGTAAATAATTTGCACAGAAACGGTGCTAGCCAGAGCCTTCAGCAGGCAGGAAGCTTTGAACTCTGTTTTCTTGGTGCTGGAACATTTGAGACACCATTCCTTGTGTGGCTGACAAACCAAGAGATGCTGAAGCTCTCTTCTCCGGTTCAGAGAAGAGCAGCATAATTCTGCTCTTTAACTATTTTTGGTGCATTCTGATTTTTGTTTTAATAGTTGGACAGGTGACTTGCACTGATAGTCAGGTTACAGCTCACTGTAGTTCGGTCAACCACAAGAGTTGGTAACCAAAGTGTACATATGATTATTTATATGAAATTTTTTATTCTAGACATTTTATATTGTACTGAGCTCAGTTCTAGCATTTGTTATAATATATGGCTTTAGGTAATCTTCCTTAGTTGTAGTTAGTTATCAGCTATGCTTTAGCAAAGAAACTGTTAAAGGAGGATTTTTACCAAGTACTTTTTTGGGGGGGCAAAAAGAGTTTATATAAAACAGTGTGCATTCTGACACATTAGTAATATGTGTGACCTACAGGTGAAAGTGAACACGTGTAATAGGGGAGAGGGGGAATTTCACTGGATTAATTTTATTTCTTCCTTCCAAAGTCCACATACGTATATAACGTCATTGTTTGTACCCTGTGCTCGCATCACTAACCAGTCTTCCACAGCTACAGTGATAGCTTGATGATTTTAAAAAAAAATGCTGACTGTTTTTTGCCCAAATTTTTTTTAACCTTAGCAGAGGTTAGAATAGAATTTGACAATTGATTTGCCCTATTACAGATCTCTTTCTTTAGGTCCTCTCTCCAGTGACTTGTTTATCCTGTTTTCGTAGTGTGCGGCTCTACCACCAGTCCTTAGCATGTCAAGAGGTTTTTCTCTGTAGGTTAGTAGTTACAGTGTAGTTATTGCTGGCCTATGTGGAGCAGGGTGTAAAGAATTGTCTTTTCACCCCCCCCCCCCCCCCCCCCGCACC